AGATAATTTTTTTAAAAAAAGAATTTCTATTAATTCCCCACAAAATACTGCCCCTAGCTTCCAAAACTCAACTCACAGCTTTTGCCCCTTTCTAAAGCAGCTCTGAAGCCCTCATTTTTATCTTTCAAGGTATGATCAAAATACAGTGAATGCTGCCACTGAGTACCAGCCAATGGAAAGGCAGGTTTGTAAAAACATTGCAGTGTGTTTTCATCCACCTTATTCTGGGGTCTAGCACTATGCAACTTCTGGCTCTTCCCCAAAGTCAAAATAACAACAAAAGGAAAACTCTTTTTTTTTTTGTCTTTTTGAGACAGGGTCTCACTATGCAGTTCAGGCTGGTCTTGAGCTCACTTTGTATGTAGCCCAGGCTGGCCTTGAACGTGCAAGGATCCTCCTGCCTCTGGAGTGTTGGGATTACAGGCGTGAGCCACCACACACGGCTCACAAAAACATTTTGAATTGATTCAGGGCATTAAAGAAGCTCTAACGACAGACCTAAAGACACTCAGAAAACAGGACTTCCCGAACTGCTTTGGCAAGTGGCAACAAGAATGAGATATTTTTCTAAAAATAGCATTGTCATCCACCTCAGCTATTTCCTTTCTAGATATCTTCCTGAAAGAATTAAAAATGTTATAATGATACATGTGTACCCATATTTACATAATAGCTAAATCTAAAAAGCAGTTTATGTGTCCACCAACAGATGCATGAATAAAGACAATGTGGGCTTTTTTTTCCCGGAAAATAGATGATATGAAAGGGAAAGAAACTGCTAAAAGTAAGGAACTGGGATGAGGGAAAGAAGAAAAAAGAAAGAAGGAAGGCAATATAGATAGATAGATAGCCAGACAGACGGATGGATGGATGTACATAGAAGAATGGCTGGGATAACTGTACTGATGTCTGATGGTATATTGAAAGGAACAGTTAATGCTTAAAATTTTTTATATTCTGACCAATTTTGCATGCTCGTATCTGGTAATTTGAGCAACTGATTTGAAGACAACAATATGCAATGGAACAAGCATTGGTGAATTCCTACCATCTTGTCTAGTGAAACTCTGTATTATCTCTAATGTTTTATCTAGTAATTATTTTTTATTCTCTTTAATGGTTTAAACAATCTTCCATTCTTACATCTGGTAATCCAAGCAACGTTAGTTGAAGATAACAATATATAATATAACAACCACTATTAATTCCTATCATTTTGTTTTGAAACCCTGTATCACTTTTAATGTGCTTGCTTTATGTTTGTGATGTTGGTATGCTATTATTGTTCTTTTTTTTCTTTTACCACTCTATTTATTTATTTTTGTCTTTTTGAGTCTCGCTATGCAGTTCAGGTTGGCCTTGAGCTCACTTTGTAGCCCAGGCTGGCCTCAAACTCACAACGCTTCTCCTGCCTCAGCCTCTCGAGTGCTGAGATTACATGCATGTATCACCACGCCCAGCACTACTCTTTAAAATTTAAAAAAAAAAAAAAAATTTATTAAATGTAGGGTTTTTTCTTAAGACAGGGTCTCACTATGCAGTTCAGGATGATCTTGAATTCACTATGGCTTCAAACCTCCCGCCTCAGCCTCCCAAGTGTTGAGATTACAGGTGTGCACTATCACGCCCGGTGAAAATGTGGTATTTATACACAGTGGAGTACCAATCTCCCATAAAAAAAGGATAAACTTGAGTCATTTGCAGGAAAAAGGGTGCACCTTGAGACAATAATGAAATAAACTAGACAAACCTAAGTATCAGATGGAAACCCAAAGTATAAATGAAGAACAAAATAGAAGATGGATAAACAGGAAATTGGGAGACAGATTTTTTGCAAAAGGGAAGCAAAAGATAGAGAAAAAGGAGAAGAGAAGTAGATTTAAAAAGAATTAAATTGAGCTCCCGGAGGGTGGGCCCCCAGTGCACAGGGAGCCTCGGGCGGGGAGTGCCGGTCTTCGGACTGGCCGCTCACTCCCGGCCTCGTTGTTCCCCGGAAGGAGGGCTTCCGGCGCACAGGGAGCCACGGGTAGGGAGCGCCAGTCTTGCGGCTGGCTAGCTTCCTGCCTGGTGGCTCCGGAGGGTGGGCCCCCAGCGCATGGGGAGCCTCGGGAGGGAAGTGCCGGTCTTTGGACCGGCGGCTCACTCCCGGCCTCGTTGTTCCCCGGAAGGAGGGCTTCCGGCGCACAGGGAGCCACGGGTGGGGAGCGCCAGTCTTGCGGCTGGTTAGCTTCCTGCCTGGTGGCTCCTGGAGGGTGGGCCCCCAGCGCACGGGGAGCCTCGGGCGGGGAGCGCCGGTCTTTGGGGTCTTCAGACCGGCGGCTCACTCCCGGCCTCGTTGTTCCCCGGAAGGAGGGCTTCCGGCGCACAGGGAGCCACGGGTGGAGAGCGCCAGTCTTGCAGCTGGCTAGCTTCCTGCCTGGTGGCTCCCAGAGGGTAGGCCCCCAGTGCACGGGGAGCCATGCGGCGGTGAGCGCTGTTGTGCACTAGCCCTTAGGCTGGCCGCCACCGCTCAATTGAGATTTATCATGACACAGAGAAACAGTGATACAACTGGCCCACCATGCACCGACTGCAGTTGCCACCCACAGATGTGTGTGAATCATTGAAACTTTGAACAACCCCTGGGAATACATGCCATACAACGGGACACTCTTTGAATACATGCCATACAACGGGACACTCTTGCTCCTGCCATTGAGAACCAGAAAGGTCCAGAGCCAGCGGAGGAGCAGCTGCTGAACAAGGACTCAGAGAACATGAGAATGCAGACTAAGCCCA